AGAGGATAAGATAACCAGAGACTTTCTATTCGAATCCAGTTTATTTCATATTCTATTATAATTTATTACATGGATTAATATATTTTAATAAATGCATTAAGATATATTTCTGGATGTATTTTGAAGGGAAGTTTAAGATTTCCAGTCAGGTGGGCCTTAAGCATGAGAACAGGAGAGGAGTCAAGGTGACTCCAAGGTCATCTACAGAAGGTCAGAATTGCTTTCAACAAAAGAGGGCCCGAGGAGTTTCCATGTGCACGTGTTGAGTCATGCTTCAGCAAAAGTCTTCTTTGTAACCACAGAGAAGGCAAGTCACGCTTGCACAATTCCTAGGCTTTCCTCCTTCCCTGACCATGACAATGACCAAGTCTTAACATGGCCTGTCCAAGGCCCCCCACCCACCTGGCTCCATATTTGTACCACACTTCTAGCGGGGCTCCTCTTGGACCACACTGGCCACCTTTCAGTTCCTGGAACATGGATGCTCTCTCCAGTCTCCAGTGTAAAGCTGTCTCCCAGCCTGGACTGCCCGGCCATGCCCACTCCCTCCTGCTGCCAGCTCTTTATCGCAGTTTAATCCTGCTTGAGCTCAGACCTCATCTCAGACTCCAGAACATGAAGGAAACCTTCAGGCATCTGCATATTCTCTCCGGTGGTATCCTAAATACGCGTCCTGTAATTATATGGTGATGTGACTATTTGATTCATGTCCTTCTCCCTACAAGCTCTCAGAGGGCTGAGTTCCCGTCTGCATTGTTTTCCACTGTACCCCAATGCTTCATACATTATCAAGCCTATGGTAAATGCTCAGTAAATACGTATCGAATGAGTGAATGAATGAATGAATGATGGTTTACTACCCACATAAAAGAAAATGGCTCGGACATTGACTCTCTTTCAGAGTCTTATATATTTCTAGTACAAGAAATAGAATAGAAACACAAGGGACATAATATAACATTACCATTTGTAATAATGCTTGCTAATTCGTTCGAGGTTCATTAGGGATTCCAAGCCATGAATTATCCCTTTCCTGTAAATTATGATGCTGCTCACCAGATTTCTGGTTCTCTGGAGAATCCAGAGTGAATTACCGACCTATGCTGCCCACGCCTAGAAAATAGACTGTCATATAACTCGTGTTGGTCACTAAAACATAAAGAGTGTAAGAGTGACAGCACCAATTCCGGGCAGAGACATTTGAAATCTGGTGTACAGCCCTCCCGTCTACCTGTCTATATTAGTCTCTTTGCAGGTAGCATTTCCTTTAAGCACGATAAGGGTTGCACCCCATGAGATTGTTATTATCAATAGAGGAAACAGAGTCTTAAAAAGATTAACTGAGCCCAGCAGGTGGCATAATGATAAAGGCATTGGATTCCCACATGGTTGACGGCAGTTCAAGTCCCAGACCTGGAGACTTGAAAAATCACACCAAGCTTATGTGCATGCATGCTTAAAATCCCAGGAAGAAAATGGAGGAGAGAGGATTGTGTCATGGCCATCTCTTCTTGAGGGGAAGGGAGTGATTTCTCACATTAACCTCTCACTGTCTCTTTCTCTTTATCTCTCAGGTGAGTGTACTTGCCCTATGGCAAAAGCCTTAAACAAAAATTTAGTGACTTGCCCAGTGGCCACATAGGGTTCCTATCCAGTCTGAGTCACAAACAGGGGATCCTCTGAACTCTCCTCAGTCACACCTCAATGGCACTGAGCCTCGATGGTCCGCTAGGACATGGGAGTCTGAGCTCAGAAACACGCACGGTTCTGCTCTCATCGCTGGGCTGAGTTGCTCAGGGGGCAACATCAACAGTCTGCAGTAATAGAAGAAAACTCTTCACTTCCTTTGTCGTTGTCGGTGGGCTGGCCTTCCCACCTAACTCATTTTTATGGACTAATCCAAACCTATTCTTTCATCTTTCTCTTTACGAGTATTGAAGTCAGACTTCAATGTTCCAACTTGGCAATGATGCAAAGACGTCATATCAAGAGCCTCATTTGTCTAAAGAAGAATTAAAACAATTAAAAGTCCCGAAAGAAACAACATGAAACCAAACCAATCCTACTTTTAAGTGTTTCCAACCTCGTTTCAAAACAGCCTCATGAAGATTGTTTTCCGAACAGCCCTGTAAAATGCCGGCCATTTATGAAATCTGATTTTCTTGTGTATACATAGCCTGTTTTCTATGCTTGGAAAAGCAAGGAATTCCCAAACTAGCATTCAATAGTAGCAAATATGAAATCGACCACTAAAAACTGAAAAGTTGTAGGAATGTTAAAATCCATGTTGACTGGTTTTTACATTTACCCAGCAGCTTTCCCGTGCTAGCGTTGGCATGGAGACTGGAAAAGGAAACTTTCCACGAGTCTGTCACTTGCTACTGTTTCCACTTATTCTACCGTCAGTCCAATTTTAACGATTTTTTAAAAGTGAGCAAAGTTTTTTGATTCTTTTTGTGTTTTCTGTTTCAGGACAGATATTTTGCAAACATGAAAACACACGTGAAAAAGGTTTTTAAAATCAGTCAGATATGGGTTTTAATTTTTCAGCTGTTTAACATTCAGATAATTGCCTTTTTTTTTCATCTTCCACATTTTGTCTGAATACTTTGGCATGGAGGAGCCCCACAATCTGAGTTACTCTTTGTCCCAACTGTCCTTATGGCATTTATTAAATAGCCTGAAAGACCCATCTGCTTTTCAGTAGTTCGTGTGACCTTTCAGGGACAGGGGAAAGCCAGAAGTTCAGGCTATTCAGGAAGAAAGTTGGGGTTCCCAAAACCTTGGTGCAAGCACGTATAGTATGGTCATACCTAGGTATGAGGAAGTCTTCAAAAAGTTCACAGAATATGTGTATTTTGGGAAAAAAGAGTAAGCATAGATTTAAAAAATATCTTTGCAACAGTATAAACTTATAGTGTAATTCCATTTTCCCATGAATTTCTTTTTTTCTAGTGAGATTTTTATTATAGGGTGCATGTGCTCGTGGGAGAGACAGATAGCCAGAAAGTGAGAAATCACACCCCCCCCCCATGGATGGCCATGCCTTGGTCCCTTCACCTCCATTCTCCTCTAGGGAGTTTGGGCACACACGCACATGCGCCTGGCATGAGTTTTTTGGGGTTTTGTTGGTGGTGGTGTTATTTTCCCCACATTTTATTGATTCAGGTCCGGAACTGCAACTACAGTTGGGAGTCCAGCAACATAACAATTTCGCCATCTGCTGGTCCCCTCCCAGAAAGTTTTTGAAGTTTTCTATTTATTTATTTATTTATTTATTTTAGATTTTTGTCATAGGATGTGTGTTCTGGCTGGAGAGACAGAGGGAGAAAGTGAGAACTCATCCCCTAGGGTTCACGGCCATAGGCAATCCCTTCTTCATTTTCCTCTCAGGTTTCAGGCATGTATGCACCCCGGGCGTGCGTTTTAAGGGGTTCACAGCCATAGGCAATCCCTTCTTCATTTTCCTCTCAGGTTTCAGGCATGTATGCACCCCGGGCGTGCGTTTTAAGCCCTGAAGTCTGGGACTCCAACTGCTGTCGGCCATGTGGGAGTCTAGCACCTTAACCACTACAGCACCTGCTGGCCCCTGTTTTTGTTTTTGTGGGGGCTTTTTTGTTTTGTTTTGTTTTTGTCATTTTGCCAGGAGGCTTCCTGGAGAGAGACAGAGAAAGAAAGGGAAAATGAGAAAGCACAGCCCATGGGCCATGGTCCTGGTGCAATCCCTTCTCCTCCATCTCTCTCTCTCTCTCCTTTGGGGATTTGGAGATGGCGGCCGCCCTGCATGTTTTCCAGGTGGACTGTCTGGGACTGGGTGCGCTGTCGGCCATATGGGATCTAGGTGCCTTAATTGTCGCACCACAGTCTGACCAAGCCCCTCATATTCTTGAAATCATTTTTCTTGGGGAAAGCAGGCTGAGATGCTTGGGGCTGGGCTAGGATCAGAAATGGAGTGAAATTTATCACTTTTCCTCTGTAGGGGTACTTAAAACCCAGGGGACACTCAAACAAGTGAGTCACTGTAGTGTAGTGCTGACTGCATCTTAGAGACTGCAGGGTGATTTTCCCCGACTGGAAAGTAAGCGTTGCCCGCCTCGGGGTGAAGGGGCCTCAGACTGGCACACCCAGCCAGGCGGTCTCATTTCCCTTTGGCATCATGCTGAATAGCTCTGCCCGGGGCTGACAGAGGGGAGGAAATACATGTGAGGGAAATCAGAGGAGAGGGTCAGGAACAGATGTGCGCACAAAGGGAAGGCGTTCGAACTGAAGGAAGTAAATAGGACTCCCACAGCTGGAAGGACAAACCCCTCGATGGCGTCAAGGATGTGGAACTGGGGGTGATTTCGCTCTCCCTTTGTTCTTTTTCCCTGCCTTCCACGTTTCCAGTTTATTTGGATGTCTGTCTCCTAGTTATTCCATCATGAGGCCTGACCTGGTGGCAGGCCCTGACACCCAGGGAGCGCTCAGTATAGACCGGCTGAGCACAGGAACCCATGCAGGGGTGCAATTATGTCCTCTGTCCCGAGCCCGCGGTCTCGACCCCCACCCCCATGTTCGTCCACAGCGCCAAGCACGTAGTAGGCGCTCCCTAAACATCTGTAGAGCAAATGCTCTGTAACTTCTCTGCGCTGAGCACGTGGAGCTTTGGAAACCAGGACAGCAAATGAGTGTCTCTGAGACCATAAAAGCGATTCAGGCGCGTGCGGAAGGCAGCAGCGGGCGACAGCGCGAAGAATGGCACAGAGCGGGGCGCCCCGCGGGGGGCTCTGCCTGCGTGGCGCCCGGGGCGGGGGCGCGGGGAGC